GGAAATGAAAAGCATGTACCTCCGGTCTCCATCGCTCAATGAGAGCGGTGATTAAACCATGATCAAATCTAATAGGGTGCACACGGTGTACCCCATAAAATCCTGCCCTCCGTAAATTTTGGAGAACCCTGGGTCATTAAAAACAGTAGGGATGCAACTATGATATGATATCTAACTAAAACTAGTTTATTGTCACAAAACTCCTTATGTTTCCATACCTGACTAGAACGATGAGTATTCTGTAAATGTGACATGTCATCTATTCTAAGGCCCGCTATCTCTCTTTCTCTTTCCATGTCATCCATTTTTGCACTTCAAAAATAAAATAATAAATATTTACTCCCTCTGTCCAACTTTAAAGTTCCCGCTTTCCTTTTTTGTCCGTCCACAAATAATGTTCCCTTTTCCTTTTTTAGAAACTTTCTTTTGTTAAAAAGACTTAAATACCCTCTTTAACTTTTATTTTTCCTCTCTTCTTTTCCTTTTTTTCTTTCTTTTTTTCCTTTTTCCCGTTCGCACATTGGGATTCTTCTCTCCTTTTTCTTGTTCTTCTTTCCTTCCCTCTCTCTCTTCTTCTTTCTTCCCCTTCTGATTTTTTCTTACTTTTCTTTCTTTTTCTTCCCCCCTTCTGAATTTTCCTTTCTTCATCATCATCTGCTTCCGATTTTCTTCTTCTTCTTCCTCTTCTTCCCCCTTTTGATTTTTCAATTCTATTCTTCTTCTTCTACTTTTTCTTCTTCCTCTCTTTACCCTTTCGATTTGTCCTTTCTATTCTTCTTCTTCTTCATCGTCAATCGGTTCAGATCTGAGAAAATCGGTTTAGATCTGTGAATCGACAAAGAATCATCTTCAGATCTTTTTCATCTTCATCTTCTTTGGAGTCGATGAAGAAATCCGATTCAAATCTTTTTTCGACTCACTCATCGTCGGAATTTCACTGGCCGGAAATTTGCCGGATTTTGACCGCCGGAATTTCTATGGAACGATGGGGTTGGGCCGCAGGAACTTGGGACAGCCTCTACAATCGGCAGTCAATATGGATGGGGGTGTGGTTTTAACTTTTATTAAACTCCGTGCCCGATCAAAGCGGGAACTTTAAATGTGGACGGAGGGAGTATGTTTTTATTCTTAATATTAGTGCATACATATATGAGTGATAATTAAGAAGATGAAGGTTAATATTAGTGCATACAAAATTCATTTAAAAAAACATCTTCATAAATTCGAAAAAATATATATTCATGTAAACACTATCTTAAAAAAATATATTCATTAAAAAACATAATTTCGAAAAAAATATTTTTATAATTTTTTATAAAAAATTAAAAATATTATAAAGCACATAAATAAGAATATATAAACACAATCTTAATAAACCAAATGAAAATGAAAACTAATAAAAACATAACATCTATAATCAATATTATTAATATTTAAAAGTTAAGTGAAATATAAGTAATAAAAAAATATCTGAAAAATGTTGAAGGTTATGAAGTAGTGTGAAAATAGGTTATGGAGTAGTGTGAAGAGTGAGTAAAGTAGTGGGTGAAGGAGTGGCTTAAATAAAAAAAATATGAGCGATAATTAAGAAGATGTAAGGGTGGGTTAAGTTGGATGGTTGGGAAGGAGGTGGTTAAAACATGTGGTGGAGAGGAAAAGATGGGAAGTGGAAAAGGTGATTAAAGTGGGTGGGGAAAAGGCTATTATTTTGGCATGTACTACATGCATATCTATTAAAAAAACGAACCATGTGTAGGACATGCGATTTTACTGCAAAATCTGCAGAAGATTTGACAGTTCTGTAATTTTTTTAATTTTTTTTTTGAATTCGCAGGTAGTATGTGCGAATTTCCTTCTGAGGAATTTAATGTTCCACTTTAGGAATTTTTTTTCCCTTTTTTTCCGACTGAGGGAAACCACCCCTTTTTTTACTTATTACTTACAGTATTTTGGAATCAAATCAAATCAGACGAGACATATTCTAAAATATAACTACATTAAGATCAGAACTTATTCCAATCAGATTAGAACCAATCCATGCCCTTACTTTGTTTCTGTCGACCACTGATGCCCCAACACTAACGGGAGTGATGAACCCATAGTTTTGAAAATCAGACCGAATCGGCCGGTTCAGACCGGTAATTGGTGAACCGGTAGGCAAACCGGTCCGGTCCGGTCCAGCCTTGAAGACCGCTACACGCACCGAATCGGCTCAAGCCAGTACCAACCGGTAAGAACCGGCCAGTTAAACCGGCGAACCAGTTTTTTTTTGCGTCCAAATTTTCCAAAAGTTTCAGCCTAGTAGGCTTCGAATACAAGACCACATATTCCTAAACCAATGTAGCCACCATCTGTACTACTTTACTTTTTGTTAACTATTAACATAAATTGTTTAATAACCTATACTTAAAAAAATACAGTACATATTTTTAAAAAGACTACTTTTCATTTCTATAATTTAGAAAAATATAATGTTGAAATTTTGATTCAAACTCTTATCCATTAATGTAACTGATACTAACACAAAGTACATACCCCAAAAATATTAACTCATTTGAATTTTTTGAAAATATTGGGTAAAATACTAAACAAAAAAATAAACTCTTGTTTTATAAACTTTTAATGTTTCTAAATACCCATAGAATATAATTTTTTTTCAATTTAATGCTACTACTTTTTCTAAAATAAAGTTTTAATGCTACTACTCCAATACATTAAAGTGACTATAAATTTAATAATACATCATAAATTCTTTATATAGAGATAGAAGAAGTATTGTTTTAATTACATATTATTTTTCACACACACACAAATGATATATATATATATATATATATATATATATATATATATATATATATATATATATATATATATATATATATATATATATATATATATATATATAGGGATTGACTCCAGTAAGATGACACCTTACGGTGCGATGACATGCTTCGGTCAGATGACGCAAAGCTCACCACACTACACTACAAAACTCACCAATGGACAATGCAAAGCTCACCTGGAAATAAAGCAAAGCTCACCACTTTGAACCCCAAAACTCACCTTTTTTATTTTTGAAAATTAAAAAATTATTTAAAAATAAAATAGCAACACCGGTCAACCACCGGTCAACGGCGGCCGCAGGTGGCGGAGCAGCGGCGGCCGGCGACCGGAGTATGGCGGCGGCGGCGACCGGAAACCGGCGACTGGCGGCGGCGGCGGCGGTCAATGCTGGAGTCAACGGTCAAAGTCTAGTCAGCACCCCTTCCTTTGATTTTATTTTTTCAAAAAAAATTCAAAGTGTTAAAAAAAATATGGTGAGATTTGTCTTACAGTTTGGTGAGCTTTGTAGTTGTGCTTGGTGAGCTTTGCAGTGGGCAGTGGTGAGCTTTGCGTCATCTGACCGAAGCATGTCATCGCACCATAAGGTGTCATCTCACTAGAGTCAATCCCATATATATATATATATATATATATATAATTCATAATTTCTAAATATGTGTGAACCACTGGTTCGACCATTGAACCAGTGTCTTGGCCGGTTCGATCACTGGTCCAGTTCTGAAAACTGTGGATGAACCTCCTCGGCTTGCGCATCTCCTGGGCCGGCGCACCTCCTCTGACATTCTCTACTCTCATAGTGACGCATCACTTCTTATTTTCTATTTTTTTATTTTCTTTTTTATTTTCAAATTTGGGTTAATCTCAGTTTCCTATAGATGTTAAATTACTTCATAGTTGATTGAATCTTCAACTTTTACTTGTGTAATTTATTTATGTCTAAAATATGATAAAATAAATTTAGGTTAAGAGATGAAAGATAAGTCATAATAGACCCGACCAGAAAAAACAGGTCTGGACCAAAATCTAATAGATCCAGTTTCCGGTACTATACACTGAAGATTCTGGTTTTCTGATTTTTTGGTTTCGATATAGTCTGGTTTTGGACCAATATAGACCCTAATACTGAATAGTAGTAAACCAATTAGATTAAACAAAAATAGCGAAAAGTAGTATTTTTGAACTCGAAAAATTTGCTTGGCAACATTGAGAAGAGGGAGGTTTCCTAGAAAACGTAAGAGGATGAGATCCCCATGAGCCGAAAGATCGTTTATAGTGTTGTAAACAGTGGAGTCTAAATGCATCGAAGCTAAAAGTGCCAAATAGTTTTGAAAAATAAATAGCAATTTCAATAAGATACTGTAATAAAGGAGTTTGAATATCATATAAACTCGAGTAAAAGCTCATACTTGTAGTTTACACTCCAAGTATTACAAGTGAAAATTAGTTTCAAAATTACGGGCGAATTTTGTTTGGTCAAATATTACAAGTGAAAATTAGTTTTTGAAATAATGAGTGGCAATAAAAATCATCAAAGTAACGTATCTACTTTGGCTCCCAAGCAAGCGAGAGAAGTCCACCTAGTCCCAAGGAAGGAAAACAAGTCTACTTGGATCCCAAGAGAAGAAGAAGCACACGTCCCAAGGAAGAGAACTAGTTGGGTTTCAAAATTCAAATGAAAAAGTTTCATTGTTTCTTTTGGGATTAGGATTGTTTATCCCATTACTTTTAGGATTACTATGTTATTAGTAGAAACAGCCTTTTGGGTTGTTAAAATCATTCTCATCATAATGGATGAGATTTAAGCTTTTCAAGTACCATGAGCTTGTTCTCTTCAATTTATTCTTATTATATTTACTTATTTTTATTGGATTCAGATCAGATCAGCCTAGATCAAAACATACTCTAATCAAATCAGGTGAAGAGAACAAGCCTTATGTGATGGTCGATCAATCTAGACTTCAATTTCATCTCACTCAATCATATCTTTCAACCTTCAATTTTTATCTCAATTTTTGAAATTATTGGAAACATATTTTCACTTTGACTTTATAGGAGATATAGGTCCTGTTTGGGAATAACGTTAGCGATTAGCGTTAGCGTTTTGAAAAAGCTATCTACGGTCAGCGTTTAGCGTTAACATTTTCAAAGTAATCTACACTGTTAAAATTTTATTCAAAACGCTAACGCTATTCTCTAACGCTATTCCCAAACAGGCCCATAGACATGTAACTAGTGAATAATGCATAAATTCGAGTGTAGTTGTTCCATGGACAGTTGAACACTCTAATATCCCTATGATCTATATACCTTTTCATTTTCCTTAAAATGTAAAAAAAAAAAAATACCTTCACAGTTTAAATCATTGACTCTTCAAATGGAAGAAGACCCAAAGGGAAAACCAGCAACCGCAATGCCCCCGCCACAAAGGAGCAAACCCCCAGAATCTATTCTTTTGTTGTAAACCACCTGATGAAACCACAAGCTCTCTATGTGTCCTATCAATTTGTATGCACTTGCATCATCACAATGTGATGCGACCGTTTCGGCATTGATTTCACTTGTGACTGTCTCTCTTTCAAAAAGCTTAATACATCTCCTAATGTCATCATCCACTTCAGGATGTTTCGGCGATTCGTGCATGAAAGATAACTTACTAATGCCGCAGGATATCTGCAACAGCAATGTCATAAGCATTTAGTATTTCTGAGTTCTGACTTAAAAAAGCAGACTATTTGTGTGAGTATTTTAATTTCTACTGTGCTTTGACATGTAACCTCAGTGTAGTAACAACATTTAAAATAAGATATTAAGCATTTGATGTGGAATGCAATCGTGCTACTTTTGAAACCGACACTGTTAATCATAAACTAATAAATGAAGCAAAACAGATAATGTAAAAGCACCATATACTCGAGACCAACAATGTAAACAAAAACATGATCATCCACAATGGAAGAAGTCCGCCTTCTCGTGATTTACTATCCACAAAATACCAGTCTAGTTTGGTAAGCCTCGTATATCAAAGGAAAAAGATTATCTTAACACACAAGCAATTTAATGTAAACACAAAATATATTAAACTCAAAGTTTTTAAATATCTAGCAAAATGGATTGTGGTAATTCTGTAGTAGCATCAGTTAAATAAATACCTTCGTATTGCGAGAAAAACCTTCCATACTTTCGTGGGGTTCCACTAGACTCTTGCAGTCTGAGGAGGTTGCTCCAATTGAACTGTGAGGTGGATCTTCAGGTGCTGAGAAGTCAGAACCATCAAAAGTTGATGTTGATACACATTCATCAAAATGATCAAAGTATGCCATTGCTTCTTCAGTAAGGCGCTGCGACATCTTTTTTCTTTCATTGCTCCTCTGTTGCACAGAGAGGTATTAGATAACATTTATAAACAAATTCTCCATCTGTATTCGAAAGATTGCTCCAAGTGGGTTTCAATGGGTGTTTAGAGTGAAATGCTAGGGGTACTGGATTGAGTTAAATATCGAAAAGTATGGAGAGAAAATGGAAATGTAATAATAGTTTTCTTTTAAAGGAGAAATACCTAACCAGGACGCAAAAATGCTCCATATACAAAACTAGGACTTTCAATGTTTTTATACCAGAATAGGACTTAAAATGTTTATAATGCCAAAAAATATTGCGAAATGCCAACACACAATGCCAAATTGCGAGCGTTTCAGTGTCAACACTACTATTTAGGGCTTGTTCTCTTTGGCTTATTTTGATTACATATTACTTATTCTTATTGAAATCTAATCAGATCATATCATAAAAATTCAGATCATATCATAAAAATTCAGATCATATCAAAAGATTCATATCAAACCAGATCATAAACAGCTTTAACGTTAATTGGAATCAGATCAGGGAGAAAAATGATATCAGATCATATTAGTTTATTAGACCAGAATGATTCGGATCACATAGATTCAGTCATTCAGATCAGACCCTAACTAATTTAGATCTGAATCAATCAGATCAGATGAAGAGAACATACCCTTAGGAGATAAAACATTGGTGGTATTATTTTGGTATAAGTTAGATATTTTAGTCGTATTTAGATAGATTTCTAAAAAAAATGGAGGATGAAAAAGTAAGGACATTTATGTCATTTAATAGGTAACATTTGTTAAAAAGGGAAAGTGAAACTCATAATAAAAAAACTTCTTTCACAAAGTTGAGCAGCCTTTTCAAATATATAGTAAATTATATACCTATATAAAGCCTTTTCGGTTAGTATAGTGACCTGCCACTTCAATTCTACAGATTAGTATCATTTTCATTCTCATGTTAGGAAAGATCAAAAGTTGTATTACTCAAATGTATTTTCTGATACTGTACTAGTGTAGGACAGGATTTTGATTATAAATGAAAAGCTTGTTCTTAATACCAAAAGAATATAGTCTAACGTAATGGACATTCTCAAGCAAGAGCCCTCAATTTAAGAGGGAGAAAAATGAACATGAGATCAATGTAACAGATACTGAAGAAAAAAGTGAAAGGTTCTATTGAGGCATACAAACACGAGACCAATACACCTACTCCCCCTATACATGCCAATGCAGCATTAGTTTTATAAGGTATCTCACATCAGTTGTTTAGTTGGATTGAGTCTAGTAACGAGTGTGCTTGGAGAATCTTTTTGGTGTAAGTTAGAGGCCCAAATGCCCAATTAATACATTTGAATCAGGACCTGGGTTTCAGCTTAGTAACTGCGTAGAGACTTGCACTGTAAAAACATTATTTCATATGCTGATTATCAACTCATAGTTTCCCTTTAATTTATTTTATTTTTTCCCAGAGCCCCAGCTTACTAGGTCACTTTTACCCTAAATGGTGAGGTTGCAGAGTGATGTTGAAGGCCAGAAAAAAATAACTCAAATTAACGTACTCTTCTTGCAATCCGAGTTCTCTGGGGAGAAATGAATTTCCGTGAATCAGGTACTATCTCCTTGAGAATTCTATTTAGCTCCTGCCCGTGATGCTCTTCTACCGCCAAATCTGCTTTCAGCTGTCTAGTCCTTTCTTGAGACTGCATAATAGAATAAGAAATGTCAACTCCAGTGAAAATGGGCTCAGACGTTGTAGATATCAGAAGCAAGGGTAGAGAAAGAACTGAAGGAGATCATTCTTTAAAACATCTGGTGTCGCGACACAGCAAAACTAGTGTATTAAGTAACCTGCTTTTAAAGTGCTACAGTCGCAGCTCATCTCTCTAGAAGTGATTGTGTGGATTTGACATACTCTTTTTATCAAACAGATGATGGATATGATTTTAATTTTCCAAGTTTAGCCTTTTGGAAAAAAAAAGAAAGAAGACAGGGACCAATTAAGTGAAAATATGTTGGAAATTGGAATGATAAATAAGATGAAATATATTGGAAAAGTTAGACGTTCTTGAGATCAGGAAAAAAGTAGATTACTTGAAGGAATTCAAGGAAATAAAAGAAAAGTGCATCTAACAAAATGCAACAGAATACAGTATTTTATTTTATGTGGAAAAGGAAAATAAACAATGATCTTTTTAATTATCAGCTCATCTAAACAAATGAAAGAATCCATCCCAACGTTAGCAGTTCAAATAGAAATAAAATGATTTACCTCCTCAAGTTTTCTACAATATTCCTTTCTAATGCTTAAAACTAAGTCAACAGCCTCAGGATTCAAATTTGGAGGAATATCCGCAGCACTATAGGTTGAAATGTTATTAACATTGTCCCTTCGCATTACCTGAATAGCCAAAAGTAAGACCAATAAAATATGATTGGCTGCACAAGATATGTAAAAATAACGGGAACAAAATTGTGACATATAATGAAGAAACTTGTTATGCTGTTGGTGGAGATGAATTTTGCACCATCAACATCTCCCTCCGTCCGAAAACCATGTTTACACAATTACACTAACATTTTTTAGATGTCTCAAAATAAATTTTACACTTTCCTACTCCCTATAAAGGAAAGCAATATGTGGCATACAACATTTCTCTCTTCTAAATAAATTTCAACCACTCATTTTTCACATCTCAACACTTTTAAAACTTCGTGAAGTCTAACTATAAACATCAGACACAAATATAAAGCATCAGATAAATGTAACATCAGGCATGCAAATTTGCATTACGACCAATCACATCAAAACTTTTGATGATAGATCCACCATTCCCTCCAGCCCTCATTCTCTACTAAAATGTTACCACAACACTGTTTTCAGCTTAATTTCCCACACTAAATTGTGCAGAAAGCCAATGACTGAGGTAAAAGTCTTCCACAGAAGTATAACGACATACTGACACTGGCACACAGCTCATCATGGATAAGACAGATGACAGATCCATGCCACATAACTACAGTGAAAGTGAAGTACAATTTCAAATGAAAGTTGAAAATGAGGCCTCACCTAAACAACAACAGCAACAACAATAACAACCCAATAGAGTCCCACGAAAGTAGGGTCTGAAGAGGGTGTGTGTATGCAAATCTTACCCCTACTTGAAAGGAGAGAGGAAATGAAAAACAAGAATTACTGTAAACAGAACTTAAACATCTAGTGGATATTTTGATGCTCTGTTATTCAGTTATTAATTCACGCTTATTAGAAGTTTGCTTCAAGCCTTCACTCGTTGATGAGAGGGAGACGCACTTAACAAAACATAAGCAAAATCATTATCATGTCACTTTAAAGACTGATCTCACAAACTCTAGTCAATAGTATTTTAGTAATAACTACTCCAATCGTCCCAATATGTTGTGCTTGTTTTCCTTTTTGCATGTCCCATATAATTATGTTGGTTTGTATTTAGCAAAACATCCATTGCCAATTGAGCTAAAAGAGTCCTTTCTGACAGTATTTTACCTTTGTGTTATTAAGGGCACATCAAGCTTCCTTCGTCTCTTACTTTCTATGAAGTTTTGGGTTGTATATGCACCAATGCATCAGGGGTCTAACGGAAACAGCCTCTGTCTTTAATAGGGGTAAGGTTGTATACGTGTTCACCCAAGGATCCCAACGGAGTTGGGATTATTCTGGGGTCGTTTCTATTTATAGCAAAGGTTATGTCTGGAATACTGTTTCTCTCCAGTGCATTAATTTAAACCACACAATATTTCTATTCTCTTCAAATTTACCACAACAATGGGCGGAAGGCTTTGAGGCACTGGGGTAATGTTGTTTTTGTTGTATATTGAGACAAAGGAAGTAATGGCTAAGTGGGCTAACCAAGTTGCTTTGACAAATTGTGATGAAAATGTAGGCCTGCAGATAAATAGCCCCACTTACAATTTACAAAATAGTTTGAGAGAAATCCTCCACAACTAAAAAAAAGAACTAAAAGTGATATAAGTTCCTCATGCAATGACAGTGGGAAATACCATGCATAGTACTTACCATAATTCAGTTTTAAAACATGATTGGAAACTAGAGTGGTGATTATTATTACAAGAATACAACAAACACTATCAAGATCTTGAATATCAATCGTAGCACACCCCCCTATAGAATGGAGAGCTTCATATATAACAATAATCCAGTACTGGTTCTATCCATATCCAAAAGACCAAATTTTAATTACAATAATAATAAATTAAGGTAAGAAGCTTGTCGTAAAAGTTGAAATTTTGACATTAAATTCTAAATCACACTAAAAAATTGCAGAACAAGATGTCACAAATATCAATAAAGGTATGTGTGTTCTCCTTCAGTTAAAATGAAATGTATGTAGCACTTGAAAGGGAATAAAAAACATGTCTTCACCTGCTCAGAAGTTTGGATGATTTTATCATCTGCTTCAGAAAAAGAACTTATTGAAATTCCATCTTCCCCAGTTGAATTGTGTATGCTATACTGGAAACATAAACTTATATTAGAATAAAGGAAAATGAACAAATAGGCCCTTCTACATGTCAGGGAACACATATACCCTTTATCTATTTTTTGGCTCAATAATCTGTTAAAATAAAATTTAACAGCTAAACTGGTACCTCTATTAACTACTTAATGTTGGGTGTAAGTCAGCCGAATTACCGTTAGTACATAATTATATATGAGATGGCCACATCTTCAAAAAAAAATGCTCTTAACCAAAACAATAAATAAAATTAGAACTATTGATCAAAAGCATAGAGCCAATTGTCAAATTGAGAATAGAAATCACCCCTAATAGGACTAAAACATTGTACTAGTTCCTAAAATAGGAGTTCAAGTTTTTTATCCCCCAAGTAGGACCTTTCCCGCCACATTCTTTCTTTCTCTCCCTATTTTGCCCTCTTTTTCCTTTTCACGTCAGACTTCACCATTTATCTCTATCTTTCCCATCATTTTTGCTGAAGGAGAGTTTCCTGCCACACAAATGAGAAGAAGAACAAGAAGCCTCATGTTTGGAACAACACGCGCCATAACTCTTGGAACCCAGGTGCTTTTATTTTTCTTACTAAATTCCAACCTCCAATATTTGATCTTTAATCTATTTACTAAATTAGATTATTTGGTATTTTAACTTGTCTAAAAAGTTAAAATATAAATGGGCTTGACATTTACAAACTCTTTTGTGAATCACATATTTTTTTTATTGTGTATATTTTATTTTACTTGAAATAAAAGTAGTTTTTTATGTTTTTCTTTTTTATTATATTTTTCTATTCTTTTTTCTTTTACTTTGTAAAAAGTATTTTATTTTAAAAAAAATATTTTTTAATTTCTTCATAAGTCCATCCTTTTTTTCTTATCTTTTTTATTGTACATGGAGTTCTTAACTTCCTCTGTATTTCATTTTTCCTTGTGCGGCCCATTTATCCTTTTGTGTTTAATCACTTTAATGTTTAAAGAAATAAAACATAGAGAAAGTACCAAAATATGATATGGGTTTCATGTTTTTATTCCCTAAATATGAGTTGTGATAATATGACACTCTACATAGGCATTTGTTGTAATATACATGGTCATGCTTGGTAATGTAAATATATTTTAACTCATATTTTGGAAATAAAAGTATGAAACTTCTATTTTGTTATATTTTCATTTTTTTACTCCTAATTTAGAGAAAGTACTAACGTAGGAGCTCCATGTTTTTATTTCCAAAATAAGAGTTTGTATTGTGGTAATGTGACATGTGGACATGTGGTTCAAGTACTTGTGGTCTTGTGGACATGTAGCGCGACCAGTGAGGAAAAAAATGGGTTTGTGTCACAAATGTCGAGGGGTATTTTGGGGATGGCGATGCAAAGTTACTCCTATTTGGGAAATTTATGTTTTGAACTCCTATTTAGGTATATTTTCTATGTTTTAGTCTTATTTAGCCTTTTTTTCCCAATTGCGAAAGAATAAGAATTGGGATTTATTGACCCTGTTAGTACTCTTCCATCCAGTGTCTACAATGGATACCTTGTGAGCTCTCGGGCATGCTCTCTGTGCTGTTAGAGACTTCTTTGATTTTTCCGTTCAATCATCACTACAGAGAAATCACTCAAAACTCACTCCCACCCCCCTCCCCTCTCTCTTTCCAATATTTTTATTTGCATGTTTTCTAGTGCAAGTTTTGTTGCAAATATCAAGAGATAACACACATCCAAAAAAATGTATAAAATCAACTATTTCTTGATTGAGTTGATTCCCAGTATGTGAGGGCTGTCACCAAAGAAGGGAGAATACAAAAAAGACGGAGACGATAAACAAAGATCTAGGTGCCACCTTTTTTGTCAAGAACCCATTCAATGTTGTATATTTTGGTATGCTAAGTTGGCGGCAGGCATTAGTCCAACATATGGTTGATGTCTACACTCTGCGCATTGGAGCTATATATTTCAAAGATGGACGAGATAGATGCTACTAATAGGTCAGGGAAACTGTTAACATACTTTTATTTTAAAGCTAAAAGTTAGCTTTCACAGATTATTGAGTCAACATAGATGGATGGTGCTTGTATATGTGTTCCTCACATATAGTAGAAAGCTATAATTGCTCCTCATCCCATAAATAATGCACGCTAACGCTATGTAAAATGGAATCATCTTGACACCCAAAATGCTACAACTTCTAATCAAGAGCATGGAACTACACTTACATTAGAATCATCTTCTGAAAGCTCATTGTGTTGACTTTGGAGTGCTGCTATTTTTGAGCCACTTACCCGATCATGTGTAACTGTATCCTTTTCAACTAGTGCAGATCCTATGGAACTTTTGGCAACATGTCTTAGCTCTCTTCTTTGATTAATAGTTTTTAATAAAAGGGGATCATGCTCCATTTCATTCTGGTAAAACAATAGACTATTGAAGTCATAAATTAAACTATACATAATTTGTAAATGTTAACGAAATAACGTTTCATTGCAACTATACTAAAAAATTCTTGGCAGCAATAGAAAATACTAGTAACGATTGTCAATTGAATATTCATTATGCTTTAAATATGAACCGTGTACTATTGATTGCTTTTTAAGTAAAAACCCATCATTTCTAAGCATTGCGGTAAAATCCTCTAGGCTCTTGTTAGATGCTTAATTAGTCAATTGATGCCTAATCAGTGTAGGGTTAGGCCTAAACGGAATAGTGATCCCCTCCGCCTAAGAGCCCGTATTGGGTGCATAACCCACCTAGAAAGGAGAGCAAAGCATCTAAAGAGAGACTACATAGCCACCTAGGTTACTTTTTAAAACAGTGCTTCTAATTAAGATTCTTCAGGCCTAGATGCTAGTGGTGATCGAAGTCTGTAGTAAACCTGTTTCCTCAGTTCCTATTATCTTTTATAGATACAATAATTAGCAATAAAAGCAGTTACCCTAGCCAGGAAAAGTTCCATTAATACTCAGCAAAAAACAATACTCTCAGCTCTCAGACACTTAACTGACCAGTAAAATGCATACTTAAGTTCATCTCATCATCCTAGTGTATGTAAGGAAACAGTAGAATTAGCAATTAAAAAAACCATGTAACTTTCAACTATACACACAAACATATCTTGGAATAGATGAGAAGTCAGAACCTAAACCTCATTAGCTGATCCATAGCGGCCCCTAGACACAGGCCGGCCACGTACACGGGAAAGGCTCCGTCCAATCCCATTCCTGATATCCCTAGAGCTTCTTGTAGTCGATCGCCCTCTGTTGTCAACCTCTCTATTGGTGGACATGGACATTGCAGAATCACGAGCAACTTTACCTTTACTAAATCCATCAAAAAGAGACGTCTCCTTTTCTTTTTCATTTCCAACTTTCCTGTTTTCATCCTGGTCACTGGGCGAAATATTCGAGGTCCAGAACAATGGATTATCTCGCTTGTTAGAAAACTCCGACGAAGCATCTTGTCTAGAGATCCTAGAAACGGCGCTAATGCTTAGGGATCTCCGTCGGAGCGGCTTGGAGGAGGAGGAGGAAGAAGAAGTGGGAGTGGGGTATTCCTTGGAATTATCATTTCTGGTGTTCCTGGTTCCCCGTTTGGAAGTAGATTTGAAGGAAGAAGTCGCCATTCCTAAGTCCTAACAGCGCAGATTTGGTGGGAAGACATTAAAACAACTGGGAAGAAAAAACGACGGACTGGTGTGAGGCATGTGGGTGGCTTTGTTTAATTTATTTTAAAGGTAGGGTGCCACCAGTCCTGCACTAATGTTTCGCACAGACAAACACAGACGAGCAATACAGATAATTATTGTCTGTGTTTGTCTGTGCGAAGCATGAGTGCACCCATGGTAGCACCCTAGCATTTTCCTATTTTAAAACCTTCTCATTCAAAAAGGAGAATGCTAAAGAGGAACCACATTTGCCTCCAAGCATGCCACCCAATATATTTAATTTTTTTTGAATTTTCTTTTTTTTTCTTAGTCTTTTCCTCTCTCACCTTCTTCCCCAAAATTCTCAAATCTCCCTTCTCCCACTTCAACCTCCACAAGCGACAGAATTCGGACAACTCCAATTCCACGTCCTTCTTCTCCGTCGAGAGCATAGCAGCGCCGGCAGCCCCACCCCTCCAGCTTCAGCGCCGGCAGCCCCACCCCTCCAGCACCGGCAGCCCCACCCCTCCAGCTCCAGCGCCGGCAGCCCCACCCCTCCGAACAAGTACTGACGCTAACTTCCCTTTCCTTGGTCTCTTTCTTGATCTCTGTGTTTCTAAAATTGATATAAACCCTAGGGGGGTTCAGATCTTGGATCTTATTCTACATTGGAATTTTAGCATCTTTAGTAAATACTCTGTAGTAATTAATGATTTTCGGAAAGTTTCGAAGTATCAAAGACCATATGCCCTAACCATGGTTTAAAAAGTAATAATCATGGGCAGTTCAAGGATCCAGTTTATGATATACTCAAGTATTTACTTCTTTTTTTAAAAAAAAAATAATTTCTGTGAAATATGTTTCGTGAAATATTTGAACTTCATATAAGATTATTGTCTGTGAAATATGTTTCGTGATTTGCAAAAAAAGAAGGTAATATATTCACTGACTTTTAACCTCTATGAATTTACATAATACCTACAGTCACTGTCTGGGAATATATATGGTTTCTGCTCTTGTTTGTACACAGGATTCTGATGCTCTGTTACAATTCAGAGACAGAAGAGAGAAAAGAGGGGAGGTGCTGAGGAAGATGATGAGGAGTCAGAAGAAGATGATGTATTTTATTTATGAAGTTGAATTTAGGGGTCTTTTATTTTTGGGAAATTCTTTGTAATTATTTATGTGCTTTGTAATGTATTTTTTTGGGGAAACACATTAGATTTTGGATTAAGCTATATGTACATTTTTTGGTGTAAATGTAACATGGTCCTTAGCATGCACCCCACTTGTTATTGGACTTTGTCCCGAAAGCAGTGTTTGGAGGGAGTGTTTTGTCCACCCGCTATTCATTTCTTTCCAAATGAAAATTTGTTCAGTTAATACATTTAATTCAAGTCTTACGGTTGTTTTTTGTAGTTGTGCAAAGGACTGTTTTACATTAAACACTCATATAGTTTATGACTGAATTACAGGTTTTCCCAGTTTCTTTGAATGATCTAAATGTTTCTAAAATTGTTATAAAAGCCATTCAAACATAAAAGAGGTTTTATTTTGAATGATATAGATGATTAACTTCTATTATTTGAACTTCATATAAGATTATTGTCTGTGAAATAGGTTTGCTTGTTATTTCTGCTTACTGTGCGAATTGTATGGCATTGATGATTAAGTTCTGTTATTTAAACTTCATATAACATTATTGTCTGTGAAAGAGGTCTGCTTGTTATTTTTGCTTGCTTTCTATGAATTGTATCTCATAGACGATTAACTTCTGTTTATTGAACTTCATATAACATTATTGTTTGTGAAAGAGGTTTGCTTGTTATTTTAATATTATTTTCCCTTGCAGGTATAGCAATTGTGGAGTGATAGTGCTAGCATTTCTAGAGTATTTGTTGCTAGCCTTACCATTAAGTCCGGATTGCAGTTCTGAACACATGGCTGATTTCTGATGTCAATTTGCAGCTAGGTTATGGCGTGGAAGGAAAACACCCAATATTTAGCATTTTTACTTTACAATTTTAGGGGTCTTTAATTTTTGTGAAACTCTTTGTAATGGTTTATGTGCTTTGTAATGTATTTTTTGGGGAAACACTTTAGGCTTTTATGAAAGCTTTGTAATGGGGCTTTTATAATCATGAATTTGTACTTGTTAATGCACAATGTGTTAATGTATGTGATGACTGATTTACATTAGTTTATAACTGATTTACAGTTTTACTTTCAGAACCCTCATAGAGAATAACTGTCTATTTTATCTATTTCACAGAAATTTAATGTATGTGACGACAGAGTTACATAACTTTATGTACATACACCATCTTCAGAATCTTATCACATATGTGGGGGTCTTGTAAAGGTAAAAAAAAAGTTAAAACGCATACATTAGATTTCAGCGGGCTCACATGGAATAACTGTCTATTTCACACACTTCACAAAGACTTAATGTATGTAAAAACAGAGTTACATCAGGTTTACATCAGTTTATGTGCATGGAACTCAGAGAAAGTTATCATATTTGTTACATACTTTACACAAAAAGCAAAAAACTATGTGAAATACAGTTCCCATTCTAAATCCAAAAATGAGAGCAATGTTCTAGATCTGATGCCAAAAAAGGACAATTAAAAGTCAATGTAGTGAAATGCCAAGCTCCAGACCTCCCAAGGTGAGGTCGTAAACACCATCTTCGTCTTGCACGGGCCAAGCATGCCGCCGTTGTGATGCAAAGATCTCAGACGCATCCATTTTCTTCCTTTTATTAGGTAGGTTATCATTTTTTCTACCTTCTTTCGGTTTTGGGTTTTTCTCTGCAAAAAACAACACCTTTAATATAGTACAATGCCTGACTATGAAGAAAACAAAAATACACCAAATCCAGAGTTCATACAGATTATTAGCATCTGTGACAAGGACAAATCCTAGGTTCACAGAACTTTAATCTCTGTAACATCAAAATAAAACAGTATTTTTTCACTAATTCAAATGAATATAGAATGGGGTCTAAATATCAACACTTACAACTGGGTTGCAAATCATATAAAACCAGGCCTTCTTCTTCACCACCAAAATCATGTGGTTGATCATTCTCAACATGTGTAACAATACATGTTTGTAAGTCCATAATCACCAAATACCCTATGTACTCCACAAAAAGAAGATATTACCTACCTTGTAGGAAGGAGAGCGCAGAAAATGGAGAGAAGAGTGGTGCGGCTGGCTTGCGCGGAAGAGCAGAGCCGCAACAAAAGTAAAAAAAGAAAAAAAGAAAGAGAAAAGGTAAAAAAAATAGGTTAAATAGGGAGGCAGCAAAGGAGGCAATGGTGGTTGCACTGTAGCACGGTCCATTCAAAAAACCAAAAAATTGTTGCTTGGTATTCTCATTTCTGTTTCCGTGATAAGAACTCACAGGTCTCATTGTTTTCTAAAATTTACTACGAGGTACCTTAAAATATCCAAAAACTTACTACAGGGTGACATTCCGTTCATATTCCGTCAAAACCGAATTTCTCCGTTATCTTCTTCATCTTCTTCTTCTTTCTACTTCATCTTCTTCCTCTTTCTTCATCTTCCATTCTTCAATCCTTCTTCTTTTTCTTTTTCTTCTTCTTCTTCTTTTTTTCTTTTTCTTCTTCTTCTTTTCTTTTTTTCTTGTTCTCCTTCTTCCTTCTTTCCATCTAACCCACCCCTCTTTTTTCATCTTTTATATGTATTATTATTATTATTACTATTATTACTATTATTATTTTTAATTACACACTCCGTCCATATTTTTTAAATTAACTTTTTTTTTGTCAAAGTTCGTAAATTTAGACCTTGATGTGCGAAAAAAATTTATTGTATTATATTATAATATAATATAATTGCAATATCAATAAAAAAAATTTGAAACATAGTTTTGAAACATTAATTTTTATAAAATATATTTATGTATGCATATATATATAAATATTAATGGTTAAAGTGATACATTTGAACCCGTAAAAAGTCAAATCACAAAAAGTTTGCGACAAATGGTGTCGTACTGTTATTGTGAATGCCACCACCGTGGGTGTATATGTCTACTTTTCACTTTTTTTAGTAAAAATTGGTATACTTCAAATTAAAAAAATGATATTAGATATTCATATAAAACTAGTTTTATTAGATTTACTAAATAAAATATTTCAAGATATTATTTTATCTAATTAATATACAATATTTATTTTATTTAATTGTAGGTCAAATGTTTAAAACCATTGACTGAAAAAAGTCAAAACTGGACAAATACTCGGGTACAGAGGTAGTAGTAGTAATAATAATAATAATACTTCTCTAAAAATAATAATAAATAATATAAATTCTCTCAAAATAATAATAATAATAATAATATGGAATAATAATAATAATAATAATAATAATTTACAAGTGGTCAAAATTTACAAACTTTGACCAAAAAAGTTAACTAAAAAAAAGTTATGGACTGAGTGTGTAATTAATTAATTAACTAATTAATAAATAATAATATGTATAAAAGATGAAAAAAGAGGGGTGGAAAAGGGTTGGGTCAAATCGAAAGAAGAGAATTGAAGGAGAAGAAGAAGAAAAGAAGGGAATGAGGAGAGAAGAAAAGAAAAAAAGAAGGAGAAGAAGACGGAAAAAGAAGAAGGAGAAGAAGAAGGATTGAAGAATGGAAGATGAAGCAAGAGGAAGAAGTAAAAGGAAGAAGAAGATGAAGAAGATAACGGAGAAATATGGCTTTGACGGAAGACGGACGGAATGTCACCCCGTAGTAAGTTATTGGATATTTTAAGGTACCTCATAGTACATTTTAAAAAACAATGGGACATGTGAGTTCTTATCACAAAACTAAGGGTACCCAGCAGCAATTTTTTGTTCAAAAAATTATTGTAAGGTGAAGAAAGAAATTAGTCATTTGAAAATATTCATATATAAAAATAGGTTTAAAAATAAATAGATATACTTATTTATTTTTAAATTTATTAGCAACGTATAAGTTTGTTGATTAACTTCTCTCTTGGCTTGAACGGTGGTATGTCTACCCCACAGGATTCGATGAGAAAGTTCACCCAGGTTTGGGTCATAACGAAGCCGGAGACATTAGCTTTTTGTGCGTCATTAGGTTAAGTATAGTATCAACAGATACTTTATTGTAATCGAGTTAATAACACTCAAGAAAAAAGTTTGATGATAAACACATTATCAACTTTTTTATAAATTTTAAAGTGCCTATAAGGAGTTTAAAAGCATAAGATAAATATTCACTAATTTCTATTTTAATATTTTGAAAATCTAAAATTTGACACTATATGAGTATATGACATTAATAGATATGCTATTCCCTTGTCTTTTTTTCTTTCATTTACAATTACGACATCTCGATAATATATGTGTATTTCTTCATTGGTCGGGTATTTCCTTCTGCATATCCTTAACAGTGCACAGGAATGTTTTGCATTTCTTGCAAATGAGACGTTTTGCATGCATATATGAGAAATTCTAGATTTTTCGATAGTAACTCTCCATGAACAGTTACCTCATCACCGTCACTAGTACAAAGTTTCACAGCCTGAGTTCTTCACTCAATAATAGCCTGGTGTTTTATCAACCAGTCTATGCCAAGTATAATGTCAAAGTCCTTGGGAGGGAGTTCAATGAGATCTGCTAGGAATACTTTTCCTTGAAGCATCAACTAACAATGATTATAAACATGATGAAGATGTAAGTTGTGTCCTAGTGGATTTGACTCAACCACTGGATGCTCAAGGGTTTCCTTAATGATGTAAGTACACATATTTACGATAAGGTGGTCCCAGGATCAATCAATGCAGATACAGTGATATCGAATAGAGTAAACATACTCATGATGACATCATTTGCCTGAGGATCAGTACGAGTTGGTGCTCGACCTTGCTCCTGGTTTGGCGCTGGCCTCCTCGGCTGGTTAGATGCAGCCATGGTACGATGACTCTGAGCAAGCTCAGCCTGTCGGGTAGTGGGAGTAGTCAACACCCCTAGTGTTGCAGAAAAAGTCTCGTCGAGGTTCGTCGGACAGTCCTTCCGAAAGTGACCTGACCACACCCTAGACATAAACCCTAAGTAAACCAGCACTCACCAAGATGTCTATGGCAATAGAGTAAACATATGGGATGGTGGTACACCATCTTGCTCTTTCTGCTCTTGCTACTGGCAGCTATAGATGTAGAGAGGATAGATTTTTCTCGCTTATCATTGCGAGAACTGCTCGGTCCTGAGAAGGGTCTTTTGATGCTAGAATCTGCCTTCACGTCGACTGAACACTTAAGTTTTCATCTAGTGACTGTTCATAAGCAGCTTTCCTTATGAGCTCATCGTTCAGTTCAAGTGCCTTATTATAGACATCGTACGTTGATATCGTCCCGGGGAACCACAATGAGTCCTGAAGAGAAATCTGGTCTCATTTCCTTGAAGAACCTCTTGCAGCACTTCTTTATGGTCTGTACCAAGTCCTTGGCGAACTCGGTTAACTCGTTGAATTGTTAATGGTATTCTATGAGAGTGAGTTTCTCCTGAGTGAACTTCATGAACTCTTCATGTTTTGCCTCCACATAGTTTTCTAGTACATACTCTGCTTTGAAGAGTGGATCAAATGTAGCCCAAGGTACGAGCTTTGGAATGTTTGCACACATACGTTTCCACCAGTCGTACGCGGTATCCTGCAGTAATGATATAGCTTGCTGACCCCAATCCTCCATGGATATTTTTTATTATTATGTTTTTGAATATATGTAGGCCCTAGAGGCCAACTTATGATTTGTATCTGGATTATTTCAAGAATAAAGGCTTTGATGAATGTTTAAATAATCTCGTGTACTTTAGACATAACTTCAGTCCATAGATTAGTGCTCTAGTAACATAGTTAAGAACTACGATGTTCTAATTGTGAGTCTATTACAAATATAGAGACTAGATCTAAAATATCCTTAGTCGAATATTATGATAATACGGACGTCAAAATATATTAAGACTAATATGTATGAGATGAGATAGCTGCGCCTCATAGGTTATCGATAAGGTGTTATTCTAATCTATACGTAGGCAAACATATTAAATATATTGTTGGATAGACCCGCCATGAAAATACTATATGGGTATACCTTAAAATGTGTTAATAGTATTTTTTATACGACCATTTGTATAACTATCCTTAGACTTGAAATCATTACGATTTTTGGTAAGCATAGCTCCATGCTTTGAGATATAATTAATGCCATTTGAAATATTAGTGGACGTATAATTATGTCTTGGGTATGTAGTAAAGCTTAAACAAGGATGTGAATGACGTAGACAGGATCCCTTCCTTTATGGAAGTATAATATCTACGGGCTCACTGATTGATGTGACTCGGGAAGTGTATGGCCATACCCAGATAAATTAGTATACATGTTATTAATGTTATTTGAATTGCACAAGTCGATCAAGATAATCAGTAAACCTTCGATTTAACTTTAACAAGGTGACACATCCCATACCTTGTGTTAAATCTAGATATTAGTTATTAAGTGAAATGTGTCGTTGAAGGAATTGCCTTAAGAGCTTTATATCCATAACTTGGGGGGTGACAATGTGTTGCTAGTTACCGCTTGTCATTTATAGTATTCTAATAATATGGCCAGCGTTATGGGTAACCTAGAAGAGGGTCACACACATAGAACCTTTGATGGTGTAGAATATTGTTAAGGAGTAAAAATATTTAGTAAAATATTTGTACATATTGCGTGTGACACAATATTGTAAAATATATATTTGGATATTTTAATTATATGATAAATAAGTTTGTCAAAATATGTTACACTAAATATTATTTGTTATATATATATATATATAATATTAAAACAAATTAAGATATTTATTTTGTGTTAATTATTTGATAATTAAAGTTGACAAAATAAATTAGAAGCTACAAATAATGACAGGGCCGAAAATATGTAATAAATATGAGATCATTCTCCCTTATTTCATATAAGAGATTTTCGGCCCTCCCTCCTAAAAATTAAGAGACCAAATTATTTTGCTCTCTTAAATCATTATTCCAAATATTTTATATTTTAAGAAGTTATTCTTGAGAAAATTACTAGCATAATATTTCTCAAGAACACCATTCAAAGTTCGTGTGTACGCACTAGAGGTCATATTCTTTTTTGGCTAAAGCTCTTGGATCAATACTGTCAGCTACACATCGTTAATTACTTGTTCGTCAAGAAAGGTATATCTCTAAACAATAACTCGTAATTTTTGTAAGGGATCTTGGGTGGATCTACGTTTGGACATAAAAAAATTTATATTTCCGCTGCCCTATCCAAGCGTAGTTCCTAACATAAGTACCCTCATTATGCATTCTAACAAATGCTTAGAGACCAAGGGGTTTGCTATCTGATCACTGCGGAACTCTTTCGCCCCATTCTTCTTGAGTTTCTCGATCAAAATGATGGGCATAGGAGGCAGTGCTGGAAGTGGCAGTGGTTGAGGTACATACGCTCCTGCCACATGCTAGGAAAACTACACCATGTTTGCAACCATCTGTGGCTGAAACATAGGGATATATATATTCAGGTTTGTCCAGCATTTTGTTATGGAATTTGTTCAGGTTCTGGCTCCTGCTGTGATGGCGCGTAATTGGATGCTTCAGTATGCACAGTATGGACACTAACATGCTCAGGATCCACGTGAGGATTCCCGTGGCCATGATGAGTCGAAACCTGACTCATTCTATAATTGATGGAAAATCTAATTAGACATCAATAAATGAATTGATACTAATTGTTTATCTTCCTAGGGTAGAAATGTGGAGGGATGCAACGTGCGTCTAAAATTCATTTGATTGGAATTCCAAAATCATTTTTAAAACCAAATGCTCCTTTACCAAAATGTAACACCTCAACTCATATAACCTGTATATCGCCACTATTCAAGTCAGAGTGGTTACCAAGATGGTATATGCGGATGATAACTTTATGAATAATTGAAAATCATTTAAACTAAATTGTAAATATTAAGTTCAAACATTTATTTTGGAGTAATATTTTGAAATAGTGCGGAAGCTTTAAAAATAGTACATTACTGAATTTATGTTACATTTTTTGAGTGCTCACATGAAAAGGTAATTTATTTAAATATTACATAATTTATTTAAATACTACATCTCCTCACTCTCGTCGACTCCCGGGATGGGCTTCATGACATATGCTCCTACCTGCGTGTAGCAAGCTAAGTAAAGACAAACTACACGCACAGTGTAAAGCTGAGGAGTACTCTAATAAAAACAATTTGAAGTTGAATAACAAGTAGACATATAATTATTAATGATATGGCATACTATAGAACTATGATCAAGATGATGGTTCATGATGATAAATACTTGATGGCACATATAATTAATATGATTGTTCTTGATGGCTACATAATGCATGAAACTAACTGTGCAAGGACGACCATTGGTCAATGAGAATCGCCCAGTTGTACAACGAACTCACGCCACCTTAGTCTCACGAAAGAGACTAGAACCAGATGAGGGTGTTATCTGAAAACCTGAATATCATGTATGAACACTATGCCCGAACTTGTGAGGTCAGAAAGCTAAGTCCCGCATGATCATGCTATAAGAGACGCACGGGGCAATGATCTCTTACGCATGCACATGATGCATTATGCTTTCATAATGTTGAATTCAATTTCTAATCAATATGAATATATAAATATGGGTTTACTGGACTTAAACATCATTAAAGTATCAATTTGATATATCACATATTGCACAATTAAGTTAAACTAAGCTACGGGGTTCATAACGGTCGACCGTTTGGCAGGACAGTCAACCATGCTGATCTTCTACTCGGATTACTGGACTACCACCGTGACAGTCGACTATTGCCTTCTGGTAGTCGACCGTGACAATGCACCTGAAGGTTCTCATTTTCCACAGAAGACCATTTCTCTTAGGTGATGGACCGTTCGATGCGCCATAGAATTTCATCGTTCAGCTAAGACCGTGACGGTCCACCGTTGGTTAATGGCAATCAACCATTTGTTTGATAGTAGCAGAGATTACACAGCGGTAGATCATTCACCTCGACTGTCTGCGACTGCGAATCTTATTTTTGTTGCTTTAAGTCTCTAAAATACTTTCTTAAATCATTTTAACACCTTTGATGGTCATGTATATATTTTTGGGATAATTTCCAATATTTATTTTGGTGTGTGTGTTTATACTCTCTCCATCCAACAATAAAGTTCTCGTTCACTATTCACATGGTAAAACTTTATTCATTTTTTTTTACTATTTTCGTGTCCTATTTTATAAAATAATATAGTCATGTCACCTTTAGTTTTGTAGATCTTTTCATGTAGTTTTTAAATATGTAATTTTTATTTTTTAATCCCATACCATTTTTCATATAAAATGATATAAAAATATTTTCAGTCAAACATGGTAACGTGCAACGGAAACTTTATTTATGGACGGATGGAGTATAACATTCTATATTATATAAATGTGAGGATGGTTAGGCAGTGGCGGAGCCAAGGTCAAGAGCTCGAGGGGGGCACTACACTAGTACAAGATCCGAGGACAACGCTCTTAGTTTTTCTAAAGATAACGTGAAATAACAAAAAATATAATATTTTATTCGAAAGAAGTATTCAAATAATTAAAGTAAAAGAGTTTAAAAAGAATTTCTTTATTGAAATTTTGAATTTCAAAATAATTGTCACTTTAATTGAACATAAAACAAAATAATTTGATTAAAAAAATCTTAACATACACCAACTTAAGGAGAAAAACTGAAAATACTAATTTATCTTCTCCAAATTAAGTTATACTATGTGGGAAAAAAATACGGTAAAAGATAATAGTGAAGAGATTTAGAGACTTACCAAATTTAAAAAGTTTAACTTTTACATTTTTTTTATTTTTTTGTACATAAATTGAGTATAAATTTAGTAAACTACGGGGTATAATTTTTAAAATTAAAGTATAACATTTTAAAACAAAGAACAAATTAACTAGCCATTAGCTCCTACAAGAGAAATTCGTCGTTTTTGTACTCCGTATTTTTTTGTTATTCTTTGGGCAATTGGGCTATGGGCTGGGTCAAAGTCCAAAGGAGTTATTTTAAAACCAACTTGAAACAATGCCGTTTTTTTCTTTCTTCGGCGACGGCAAGTCGACAACTGTTCTTTTTCTTCGATGTTCTGTTATCAGCTGCCGGACAGTGACAAATATGGGAGACCTCCCATCGCCGATTCATGGCGGCACTATGTCGGTAGTACTATGCCGGAAAATCGCCGGGGGGGGGCAAGTGCCCCATCGTGCCCCCCTCTCCTCCGCCCCTGTGGTTAGGTACCCTTATTAAAAATGCACTTTTTCCATCCATTTTATTTATACTCTCTCCTTTAGAAGTTGTACATCTCATTTTCCAACTGTGATTGCCCTCATCACCGTTAACCTACCTGTTCGTCAATTAGAAATCTACACAAGATGAGATTTGTTCTTTTGAATTTCAATCACTTGCTCAAAGGCCCGTCTTTGCCGGAGACGCTCCTCGCTTTCCATCATAATTCAACCCCTTCATCATTCCAATCACCATCATCTTTCTTTGTCAAAACACCATTTAGAAATTATGGGTATGAATAATAAATCAAATTTTGTTTTGTTTTTTATTTCCTTATGACAAACTTCGTTTTTTTGTTTTGCTTTTGATGCCAGTCATTTCTCTATACTCTATTATACCGTCAAGAATATTTAGTGATGATTTGTAGCCCTATTTTTAATCTTGCTCTCAATTTGTCTATGTTTTTAGTTCTATTACCATGCTCGCAAATCAAATAGCTATTGGACTCTATGTATTTGAACCACCCGAGTATGTGTTTTGATTTTAACCTTTAAGATGAGTTTGAATTCGACCCTGATGTTCATGCGAGGATCAGATATATATCTGTATTTATTATTGTTCTAGTTGATGTGTATAAGCCTTTTTTATTAGCTAAATATTATTATCTATTTCAGGTTTATTAATTAATCTCAGTTTTTAGGTTTAGCCCAAAATTTTGGTTCCTTAGTTCTAGGCTTTTCATGTTAAACCTTGTGGTCTTAACCGTGGTCTATTGTGATCGTCATCAAGGTATGACTGTCTTTTGGGATTTTCAATTCCAATTTACTTAATAAATTATAATATATGGAGTATGAGCTTATTGATTTAACAACAACAACAACAAAGCCTTTTCCCACTAGGTGCGAGAATCTTTCGATACCAAAAATCTCGATCAAAAAGATGCAAATGCAATGAGATGTAAATGAAAAGAGTAAATGGAATGAGTGTAGAGGTAGAGGTAAGAGATGTCGATTCTATGGGGATAGCCTGGCAACCTATTACTCTCATGTTTTGGCAACCAAAGACACATTGTCTTACACTTTGATTACTTTATTACTGCTTCCTTTGATGAATTGGTGTTCTTTTTCCTTCTCTACAAAAAACTGCTTTTGGTGGAGTGCCCACAAAACCGAACTATACAAATATTCGTTGTAATCTATTCTGGTATTTCCATATTCTACAACATTCTTCATTGGCTTACTTTTTACCTCGTAAACTATTTTTTCCAATTTGTAGTAATAAGGCAGCTGCTCTAACCTTATATGTCATTTAAAGGGTCTAGCATAGTAGAATGTATATATCATTTGGAAAAAATGTGGCATTTTTTTATTTGAAAAAATGAAGCTACTTTACATTTGACTATTTCATTTAATGTATTTCTTAAAAATGCCCCAAACAAGTTAACAGTTTTAAAAATTTACCAACCCGATAGATAAAATTTAAAATGTAGCAATTACACCAAAAATAAAATTTTGAATTAAAATTTTACGTTGGTGAAGCAATATTCATTTATTTTTTCAAACATAAGTAGTAATGTATCAAAATGCATGGAATGTTATATCATTGTTAGTGCCGATGTTGACGGATCTCTCTCGTTCACCCATCTTTGCTTGTCTACTGTACAATAAAAAATTTGTGCTTTAAATTCTTGTATTGAACTAATTTATGCTACCAGTAATTTCATTGCTCTTGACAGTTTCACTTGTCTATTATTTGAATCAATTTCACCAAATCTCAATTTAGTAGTTTGTGTGAAAGTAAGATTGTATGCCTGCTGCTGTTGCATTGGAGTCTTTAGGAGTACTTTTTTTCAAATGATGCTTTGTTGACATTAGTGCAATCTTTCTTTTTATTTTTTCTTCAATTTCCAATTGATGGTTAGTTCTTGTTGGCAATGGCCCTCTAGTTTTTGATTAGTTGCTGATTCGGATAATTTATTTGTTACTGGTTTAGTAGGCTGCTAGGTCAATTGCCAATGACACTCTAATTTTCAGTGGTTAAGTTGGCAGTGGTTGCTGGTTTGATTTTTATATGCTTTTGGTTCAATGGACTGAAGTTTTTGTTCTGTGCATGCTTGTTTCAGTTAATTGGGAATAGCACTCTACTTTTCAGTTGGCTACTAGTTCATTTACCTCTGCAATTAACATCTACTTCAGTTGGTTATGTTGTTGGTACTGTTAGCTATGCTGGATGGCTGCAGCTTCAGTTGGCTATGCTATTGGATTTTAGTTTTAGAAGGAGGTTATTCTTTGCTTATTGTGCAGTTGGTAATGCTGCAGTTTAGTTTTCAAAGTTTTGAAGATGAACACAATTTGGTTTGGTGGATGGCTAAGTGCCACTTCTAGGTTTTGATATGACTGATGACTATTAATGATTATGCTCTAGTGGTGTTGGCTTTTGGCTAGTTTTTTTTACAATGGCTCTTGATGTTTCTTTTTCTCTAAATTGTATCTTTTCTGTCTTGGGCCTGGTTTTATTGTTCTATGGGTATTTTTTTTAAAACAAACATGACTTTGGCATTGGTTGTTTCGAAACAACCGATGTCAAAGCCATCTTTTTTAAAAAAATATTAGGCCCCGTTTGGTACATGGAATTCAAACTATGTAATTGGAATTGAGGATTTTAATTCTAATTTTCGTGTTTGGTAGCACAAAAATTATGTGGATTTGGAATTGGTAGTGTAAAAAATCCTATGGAATTAGTGAATTCAATTCTATGGAATTGAATCCCATGGAATTTTAATTCCAATTCAATTCTAATTCCATCAATTCCGTGTACCAAACAGACCCTTAGGTTTTGGCATCGGTTATTTTTAAGCAACCGATGTCAATGCTAATTTTTTTAAATTAGGGCTTTGGCACTGGTTGTTCCGAAACACCCGATGCTAAATCCTTGTTTTTAAAAAAAATAGGGTTTTGACATTGGTTGTTTCGAAACAACCGATGCCAAAGCCTAATTTTTTTTTAAAAAATAGGGCTTTGGCAACTGTTGTTTAGAAACAACCGATGTTAAATCCCTTATTTTTTTTTAAAAAAAATAAGGCTTTGGCATCGGTTTTTTGGAAACAACCGATGCTAAAGACTTTTTGCATCGGTTCTTTTACAACTGATGCAATTAGCCTGGAGCAATTGCATTGCTTGCATTGACATCTGTAAAGTAGCGATGCAAAAGGTCTAAAACAACCGATGCTAAAACCTGTTTTTGTAGTAGTGTTTACCTTTCTTTGGTGGGAATTTCCTTGAGGACTCGCTCTGGTTCCATTTGATGACCTTCTTGTATCTTTTGAACATTGCGAGTTCCTCATCACTTTCTCCTTCGCTCTCCGATTTGTCATCCACCTTGAGTGTCATGGTCTTCTTTACCATAGGAACCCGTTCTTCTTTCTTCATTTTTTCAAAAGAAGCTCATGAGAGTACAGGCTACTCCAAATGGAAGAAATTTCAATATCCGCACATTTGGGTAGCAAGTTTACAACCGAACTATGTCACTCTCTAGGTAATGAGAAATTGATTTTAGTGTTTAACTCACTCTTGGGATAAATCTTATTTAGCTTACTCAAATTGTTGATGATAATGTTCAACTGCTTGTTCATATCTTGGACGGATTCTCCGACCTTCATCTTGAAGTTCTCACACTCGGAGGTTCTGAGGGCTATCTTTGATGCCTTAGGGTCCTTATCACCTTCGTGAGTAGCTTCTAGGAGTTCCCAAGCCTCTTTAGCGGATTTGCAAGAACTTACTCTTGCAAACTCATCTTGACCTAATGCACAAAACAAAATGTTTAGTGCTTTGGCATTCAAGGAGAGTTTTTTCTTGTTTTCAGGCATTAGTTTGTCCATGGGTGTGGGTACCTGCACATCATTAATCGTAGTAGTTGGCACAAAAAGGCCGTTAGTAGTTACAATCCATAAATCAAAATCAATGGATTGAATGAAGTTCTCCATTCGCATTTTCCAATAACCGTAATTATCACCATTGAAGAAAGATGGCTTGGTGATGCTTTGGGAACTCATGGAATCCATGTGTCGTGAAAAGGTTTTCAAAAAAATTATTTTGAAAAGGTTAAAAAATCCTGCTCTGATACTGATTGATATTCGGTTTCACCCTAAGAGGGGGTTGAATTTGGGTGTTTAAAATATTTTCAGAAAGTAAAAACTTAAACGAAAGTAAAGAGTGGAAAAAGAGAAAGGAAAATAATAAGAAAGAAAAGACCATGACACAATGATTTTATAAATGTTTGAGAACTAGCCTTCCTACTCCAGTACCTCGAGGCTCCTCCTCAATTATTTTAACCTCCACTAATTTGTTTGGCTTCACTAAGAACACTCAACCGAGATTTGGCAAACAACCCTTGCCAATAAGTAACGAGATTTTACACCGGCTATCTTGACCGCTCTACAAAGAAGTATATAAGGCTATCTTCAAACTTTTAACACAATGAAGATTTAAAGGCTATCCACACCTTTTACAAAATAAGAATTATATGAAGTTGCTTCTCTACCAAGAATAAATAATTCAAGTTGGGTAGGAGAAGAACAAAATAATAAATCAACAACAATAATAGCCTATGTGCGAGATATAAAATAATGAATCAAAAATGCCCTTGTGTGTGAGTGTATAAAAATAATAAAATCTCAAACTCAAAAGAGTGATGAAAATGAAGAACAAAGCTTTAGAACGCTCAAAAATATTATAAGAAGGCTTTAGGATGTTAGAAGATGTTGTTGTATAAAAAATGAGACTTAGGGGGATTTTATGTAGGATTTGGAAAGGTTAAAATCAAGTAGGGTACGTTTAGGACCGTTGGGGAGTGATTGGGGGTAAGTTAAATGTGAATTGTAATTCAGTTACAGGAACTGCCAACGGTCACTACCGTCCGGTACCTAAGTACCGTGACCACGGTACGGCCTACCTCCAGGGGTACCATGTGAAGTCAAAACTTCTCTAGTGGAACCTAGCTCAAAACGGGACACCTTGCTGGTCCATTGGTACCGGCGGTACCTTGACACCGTAGCAACAGTATAAGGGGTACAGTGAGGTCCATTTTCATTTTCCAAAACATGATTTTAATTTTTATCCTTTTCTCAAAATAACCCCAACTAAGATTTATTTGGAAATGTTTAGAAAAAGTATTTAACGTGCAAGGGCATATTGAAATGATTATAAATATCAAAACCCTTACATTTTGATTTCTACACTCGTATGATTACTTCTCGGTGATGCTGATCAAGTTAGGAGAGGTTGGGCATTTTTCTTCATGCAAATAATGTTAGTACCTAGCTTTGGAAGACTTATTTGGCACATCAAAATGGATACGGGGTACGACATTCAAGGCCAATAAAACATTTGGATGTTCATTCATGGTGATTAATAATGAACTTTGATTTCTATAGTTCTGTTCAAATCATTACATCTTATCGCAAAACATTCGAATATTTGGGATCAAACATTAAATGTATCAACCCGTTTTACAATGGGTGTTAGAGATAAGCACTACATTTGTATTTATTATTTTATACATCTAGATGTACATTCACTTTGAAATCTGTTTACAAAAATCCAAAGGGTTTTCATGAAATAATGATGTCCTAAATAAAAATTATATTTCCAGCTGTCCCTGTAGCTTGACCCCATCCATTGGTTGTGCTCCTTGGACCCTTCCAGGGGATGCCGCCCATTTCCCTCGCTTGAAATTTGTAATACCATTGAAGAAGCGTGCGGTTAACCTCCAAACGTGTTAACAATGTCTATTAAAATTCTCGTTAATTCTTTAAATCCCAATTACATAAAATAGCCGATGATATGTCACTAAAATCACCAACATTCTTCTCATATTTTTTTTTCACATTTGATTTTTTTATGGTCTTCAATATGATAATTTGACAATTAATATATTTATTTATATATAAATATAGACTATATAAGATATGATATTTCAAAACTATGTTTCAGTATATCACAACTCAATGTATTTTTTCTCCCTAATTTATAGTCAAATTTAAAAACAATGACCGCAAAAGTTAAAATGAGAAGAAAGGTACGAGAAGAAAGGAGTATTTCACTATTTTGTTCTCTCATTACCAAAGAAAAGCGTCTTGAAGGAATGAAGAATGAGATCCTGCACCAAAGTTACTCTTCTCAACTAGTATTAATTAATCTGACAATGACTTTGCACATTATTGAGTTTAGCCAATACTTCTTTTGCCATTGTTCATTTTTTTAAGTTTATTTTGGGACACAAAAGCACCAAAAGAGAAGGCCAGAATAACTGCAAAGAAAACTCCCATATTCTGTTTCACCATGTTTGTAAGTTTTGCCAAACAATCGCATGACTTCTTTTCTCCCTTTGCACCATTGTCGTTTGCCTTTTCGTGTTTCGGATCTTCTTCCTCGCCTCGGGGTGTCTCGACTACGGGCTTTTTCTCCTTCACATTTTTTCCCATTTCATGGGCTGATAATGATGAATTCCCTTCATCTCTTGGTGTCTTGGAAGGGGTAGGAGAAAGAAGATTTTCAACAACCAGCGTTGGGATGATTAGTTTTAAAACCCCATCTGCATGCTCCATTCTGCTATCTTGAGGTTTTGAATTTTTTGGTGCTGTGTAAAATTGGTCAAACCAGATACACTTTGTACCATTTACCTTCCTTTCTCCACCAATCCTTATGAGACCATTTGCCCGAACTTCCACTCTCAAATCCTCCCTTCTGAATCCTTTAAATGGAAATGAACATTTCTTTTTGTTAAAAATGTGAAGCACAAATTAAACACAATCAAGCCAAGTAATGTGTGTGATTAATACTTCGTAAATGATTAACCTATTTCACTCACACTGCTAGCTCCTTGAATATGAATTACTCTCTACGTGCGTATGTATTTAGTTAACCATTTCTAATGGGGAGCTTGTAATGTGTGTGATTAATACTTCGTAAATGATTAACCTATTTTGTGACACTTGTTCAATTCTAGCACTTATGTTGCTTCGTTTATAAAGTTGATGGATCCTATCCCTTCTAACATCCCCCCCTAAATCCCCTCACTAGTTTCACCCCACTCTCCCACGGCAATGCAAAATTAGCAATCTATCGTGGGGGTTGGGGTACGGGGTGAGAGTAAAATTGATGTGGGATTTAAAGTTATTAGGGGTAGAAACTGTCAATTTTACGAATAGAGCACCGCACGTACCCCTCTTGAACTAGTCACGAATGAATGTCATTTTGTTGGTGTAACATTACATTTTTCCCTTTGTTAAAGTAATTTATACTCCACATTTAAGAAGTGAGAGTGAAAACATCAAATAAGTCATTACCTTTAAGAGCTTGTTCTTTAGAGCTAAAACTCTTTAACTTCTAGTTTTTTCAAATTTCTTCTAGTTTCTTCCTATTTTTTCCAGTTTCTTCCCATGTTTCCACTTCCTTCCAGTTTTTCCAATTTCTTCTACTTTTTTTACTTTCTTCCCGTTTCTTCCATTTCCCCCCGTTTCTTCCAGCCATTTTTCTTCCCGTTTCTTCGTATTATTATTATTATTATTATTATTATTATTATTACTATTACTATTACGATTACTATTACTATTACTATTACTATTACTATTACTATTACTATTACTATTACTATTACTATTACTATTACTATTACTATTACTATTACTATTACTATTTCTATT